TCATCTAACTAGAAATAATAATGACATGGATAAATAAAATAATATATAGATAAATTTTTATATTTTTAATAAAAATAAAAAAACATCTCCACCTATTTTCTTCCCCTGCTAGAAAAAAGAGAAAGAAATAGGGGGAAGAAAATAGGTAGAGAGGTTTTTATTTTTTTTTTATAAAAAATATAAAGATTTACCTACATATTATTTTATTTATTCATGTTATCATTTTTTTCTAATTAGATTATATATGTCATAAAAAAATATAAAAAATATCAAGTGAACGGAGTTAATGGCTTAAACTTATGAAAGTATCAAAATTATGTAATTATTAAAGTTAAGAGATTAAAAAAGTGTAAAAAATAATTTAAGGACCAAAAAAGTACAAAATAGTTTATGAACCAAAAAAGTACAATTCAATAAAGTTGAGGGATAAAAAAGTGAAATTTAATGAAGTTGAGGGATAAAAAAGTGAAACTTAATGAAGTTGAGGGACCAAAATTAGCATTTAACCAATTTTTTTCAAGTGGCGGGTGTGAAATGTGACGGATCATTAACGGAATAATAGGAGATTTAACGGAAGTTAATTTTCCGTCCAATTGGGTCCTTATTTGAGAATTTCGTGGAGTTCGGGACCTTCATTGAGCGCAATCGAAGTTTGGGTCCAAAATTGCGAATTTGGTGTAAGTTCGGGTCCTTATGTCATATTTTTGCCTATTTATAAATAGTAAGTCAAGTAATAAATATAAAGAATCATAGTTGTTTACTTAATTTGTTTAACTGACTTATTTTATTTACATATTACTTATATTTATATAATTAAAATTTTACATATACTGATTATACTTAATATTTATATAATAATAATAATTTTATAAAAATAAAAATAAAAATTAAGTCCATAAGCTAAATAAATCACACAACGCAATAATAACAACTCATATAAATAAATTTTAAACTAAACACATAAGACACATAACAATATCATTTCAAATTAGACTTTTTCATTCCCTAAGTCAAATACATAAATATATATCCATAAGTTATTCAGTGCTTGTTATATCAAATATCAAGTATAAGTTTTCAAGTATTTGAATAAATATCAAATCTAAAAAATTATACCTAAAAATTTTCAAATCAAATGAAAAATACAGTTGACATCCGACTTTTACCATAAAATGCTCACCTCTAAATTTAAGCATCAAAAGAAAGAAAATAGAGTCATAAAGACAACCCAAGTTCTGTCCATGTAAGAAAAGTAAAGAATGATGCATGGGAATATTCTTTCAAAAGAGCTGCCGATCGAAACTCATTCCTCCAGTGGTTAGGTGTAGTTTGTGTGTGCATTTTGGTCCAAAAACTTTCATGCCATTAGCATGTGTGATATCCAACCCTAATGGAGGCTGGAGTTAGGTGGAATTGGTGAGAGACTTTGAAGAGTTGCTTTGTTTGGTTTTAATTTTTGTTGGACAAGGGTTAGAAGGGTAGTGGAGCTTTGGTCCTTAAAATGCCATGAAGGGTTGTTTAGAATTGTTCTCCTAAGGGTCAGCTTTGAGAGATTGGACGGACACATGATGATCAAGTCATGACAATCTATAATGTTTGTTCTAAAATTGTTTAAATTGATTAGAAGAAGATAAAACATGAAATTTTATTTATTTGGACCAAAGTGAATAGAATATTTAAATATTGAGAAGCTGATGGTAATTACATATAGTTGGATTTTTTTCTTTTTTGAAAGTATAAATTAACTTGCATCTTCGTTTATTATTGTGTGCAGCTCATAAGATTGATTTTCTTTTATGATATTTATTTAAAAGGAAAATAATAAAATTGAAAGGTATCTCAATTACTTAAAAATATGAGATTTCAAATTAAAAATATCAAATTTAAATATTGAGGTAATGAATGTGAAATGCTTTCGTTATATATTATAAAAAGTGTTCACTGTTTTTTAAGTCAAATTACACGATAAAAATATAATTCATATGTTAAAATTATTAAAATATTACAATAATATATTAATGAATTAACATAAGTGCACAACCTAAAAAACACATTTTTATTACACAAAATAGTTTGATAAATTGTGATCGATTTTTTAAAATTTTGTTTGAGACTTGTACGTGAATACCATTGTTATTATCTAAATCCTGCAAAACTTAATTTAGGAAATAAAATTTTAAATTTCTCTTTTTTGGGTATGAAATCCTAGAATTTTTCTTTAAATAATAATAATAATAATAATAATAAATCAATTCAATTTTTTTTTCCACTTTAGAAGATGTTTTTTCCTCTTTTTTTTTTTTAAATCTCACTCAAGATTTAAATTTAAAATTTTTATAAATATTTAAAATTTTAATTACTAAAATATCTTAAGGAACCAAAATACCAAAATTTATTACTTGATGATATTAACTGCTAATATATACCCACAACAATAAAATGATATGAAAGATAATGCTTATTAATTCAAGTGTTCTCCCAAAAAAATGAGAAAAAATAACAGACTACTTCTGTCCCCGCCGTGGAACTTAACTAGGAAAATTGCAAAACCGGAAAATCCCCACTCCAGTGTCATTATCTTGTTCCCATATAAATGAACCGCGTCTGTTCTGCAGCCTGCATAGAAAGCAAGACATACGATTTTACCTATACATTTGATTTTGTTTGTATTCTCTGTTTCCCTCTTCTCTTCTGTCTCTTGAAATGGACGTTTAATAACTTTCCATCTCCTTCTCCGTCTATTTTTGCCATCCATTCCCTAGCTTTCTCCGCCTCGTTTTCTTTGCTCAACCTATTTAACAGGTGAAATTTTCCTGCCCGCTTTCTCCAGGATAGCAAACCTGTTTCTTCTCTTATATTCCCTTTGCCGTGGCAGTTTTGGCTTCTGGGTTGTTGTCTTCTTCTCTTCTTTGTCTGTCCCAGGTTTGGTTTTGTCTCCTCCTTTATTTACTGGCATTCTTGATTAATGGTTTCTTATTCCCCCAGTTTTGCTTATTTCTTGATTCAATTGAAGAAAACCCAACTGGGTCATTTAATTTGAGCATTTTTAAGGTGTATTCTTTCTGTTCTTATGGTTAAATGCGAAGGGGGGATTCAGGTCCTATGTTGGATCTGTTAACTTACAGATGCTTTGTATGCAAGTGCAAAAATTTATATTCATTTTTTGTTCCTTAACGGATGATCTTAAGTGGGTTGTTATTATATTGCAATGTCATCACTTGCATATCTTGAATTTTCAGAATGGCTACTGCCGTATTCCACCGAGCAGTTGGAACTCTTCAATCCTGTCAGCTTCACTACAATTCTGGAGTTCATGACTCTGGAAACTTTCTAGTTAGGTTGGTTCCCAAACCTTTCATTGTTGACATTAGACTGTCAAAGAGAGGGAATTATGGCTCTGGAGAGAGGAAATTCTGTGTAATTCAGGCCTCTACCTCTTCAACTTCTGTTTCTGATCCTGTTTCATGTCCCTCAAATAACAACACCCGTGAATCTAGGAAGAAATCAAGTAAGCAACTTGTTCTCCACTGAGTTTAATATTGTGAATGATAAACCAGTACGACAGTTTTTATCCTTGATCGACCTCAGTCCAACCACACTTTATTTTTAACCTTTCCCTCATTAGTGATGTTAGGAAAAAAAATTCTAGTTGTTGAATTTCAGTAAAGAAGTTTGTTTCACATTCGTCCAGAAGATTCAATTTATTACTTGCTATTTCCCCATAACCTAGGGAGTAGAATGGGGTTAATTTCATGAAATCCTCTGATTCATAAGTCCTGGTCCTGATATTTTTGTCAGATGAAGCGGCTTTAATACTCATTCGCCATGGTGAGTCATTGTGGAATGAGAAGAATCTCTTCACAGGTTGTGTTGACGTGCCATTAACCAGAAAGGGTGTGGAAGAGGCAATTGAAGCTGGTAAGAGAATCAGCAATATACCTGTGGACGTGATATATACATCATCACTGATTCGGGCACAAATGACTGCTATGCTTGCCATGACTCAGCACCGCCGCAGGAAGGTAATTTCAGGAAACAATGTTTTTATTAAAGTTTGGACTTACGGTACTTAAATGTTGTAGCTAGTAAACAGTTGGTCATGATATTTTCAATTAGTAATTGGTGTAGTAATTGAGTAATTAAGTAAATCTGAAGTCATATTTACTCAAAAATCCATCTGAATCTCTTCAATATGTTTAAATAACACTCCTCACCACCCCCCACTGCCCCCCCCCTGGGCGCCCCTTTACTTATTAGGGACAATGTGCAAATAGTGGTAAGCCTATTTGTATTCTATCTTTGTTCTAATAACCCAATAAATGTGGATTTGCTTCAGGTGCCAATTATCATTCACAATGAGAGTGAACAGGCAAGGACATGGAGTCAAATATACAGTGAAGATACAATGAAGCAATCAATTCCAGTTATAGCAGCTTGGCAATTGAATGAGAGAATGTAATTGTTTTCTTCTTTTGTACCTTTTAGTCCATGCTTGGTTACCTTCCTTCTGCTTCTGCTTTTCCATATATCTTTTCTTTATCTCTCTAGTGCAAGGCTTAAAATCTGTCATCTTTAGGTATGGGGAATTACAAGGTCTCAACAAGCAGGAAACAGCAGATAGATTTGGGAAAGAAAAGGTTCATGAATGGCGTAGAAGTTATGACATACCTCCACCAAATGGTGAGAGTTTGGAAATGTGTGCTCAAAGGGCTGTTGCCTACTTTAAAGAAAGTGTAAGTCTTGCATTTTTATATTGAACATCTTCTGATTTGTTTTTCTGTTGTCTTAAAATCTGCCATTTATCTTTCTAGGCCTTTTATAGTCTTATGGATTCAAGTTTGCTTGTATGAGTTATTTGCATCTGACTACAAACATATGTCAATGCAGATTGAACCCCAACTTTTGTCTGGAAAGAATGTAATGATTGCTGCCCATGGGAATTCATTAAGGTCCATCATCATGTATCTTGACCAATTAACTTCCCAGGAGGTATGAGCCAAATTTCTTTTCTGTTTGAGATGTTAGTATGTTGCCTTTTTTAGGGAGTTCATTTATGTATATACACAAGCTTTATTCATTTTGAGTTACAAATTATTGGACAGGTTATCAGTTTAGAATTATCAACTGGTATACCGATGCTTTATATTTTTAAAGAGGGTAAGTTCATCCGGAGGGGAAGTCCTGTGGGACCAATGGAGGCAGGAGTATATGCTTATACTAGGGTATGCAACTTCTGCCATCATCTTCTTAATTTGTTATGGACCCCCATTATTCTTATATTACTGTAGATTAGGGGAAGTCTTGTTATGGACTGAATGAGGCAAAGTTATCTCGGTACTTGAAATGGAATAGAAAACATAAGCAGTATTCTCTTATTGATTGTCAAGAAGTAAAGAAGATTTTATTTAGGGCAAGTCATCCTGCTGATGCTTTTTGAAAAGTGACTAACTGAAACTGATTCAGTCCAGAACAACCTAATCTTTTCACCTTCAACTAATCAATACTACTATCTACTCTTTTTAGTGACTTTACTACAGAGGTTATTAATTCTAAGTAAAAGATTATCACTGTATCTACTTGAATTTTCTGCAGGGTTTGGCTCTTTACAGGCAGAAGTTAGATGAGATGTTGCATTGATGTCTTTTAAGGTCTTTCTTCCATGGCATAGCCAAATTCAATCGTATCAATGTTATATTTAGGTTTTAGGAAAATAACAGTCCACTTTGTGGCAATTGAAGCGAAATTTATGGATGCACATCTGGACTATAGTTGAAAAGGTTAGGTACTGTTCTTGTGAGTTTTTTGGTGTGTCCCTGCCCATGTCTGTATCTCAGGTGGCAGACCTATGTGTTTATGTGAGTCTGAGAGATCTCTTGTTCAAAATATCATGTAATATATATAGACAGAAATGAGAAAAAGTTCACTTTTTGCGGTGAAAACCGATGGTGAGAATCTCATTCTTGAATGTCCTTCGCTTCAAGTAAAAATAAACCTAAGCAATGTTTTCCCCGTTCCAGACCCTTTATCGGTGGCATCTAGAAAAGTTTATTCTTGGAAGGAAAAATGGGAAAAATGGGAAGAAAATTCATTTTCCAGAACACAGACCAGATTAGCAGTTGTGAAAGTGTGGTTTTTAAACAGCATCTTCATCCGTCAAAAATATAAGTTTGGCACTACGATCTATGTTATGCTGTCAAGAAGCAACAATGGATTTTTTTCCCTTTGCCGGAAACAGCATTACAGGTCGAAATGACTGTTTTTTTTACCCTCATCTGCAATCGTCAAAATGAAATTGGAAAGTCTAACCTACCTAAGTTTATCAGGTAGGCCGAGTTTGTCCAATGGCACATCGAATGGAAAGGGGATTAATTCAAAGAGGGAGATTTTAATAGCTAAAACGGACCATAGCTTAGCGAGAATGTTGGATGGTTGTGAGGCCATCCAGAACCGCATTCAGTTCCAGAAAAGAAAGAAAATAAAAAAAGAAAGGTAGACTGAGTCTATTTCCCAACGAAGAGTCCATTGTTGAGTTGAGCATCCAGATTGCTTATTATACAACTTCACAGCAATTCTACTTGATTTGAATCACCACTAAATGGGCCAAATGGTCTGCAAGGCGGCTGCATTCACCAGATCTCAACTATAACAAGGTTGAGCTTTGCTGTTCCTTTATCCTAATGTGTTACCTTACCATTATCACTCTGATCAGCAACCATAATATTTTTATCAGAAGAAACAACTTCTGAGTTGATCTCTTCACTTGGTGAACTCTCTGCCTTCTCATTGTCAGAAGCATCAGAGTCAGAGTTTAAGTTGAGAGAATCCAAGGCAGGAACACATGCTTCTGTGGGTTGTGCAGCAGTAGATTGAGAGTTTCCTCTTGTCGAAAATGAGATCATCTTTTTGTCATCTTCCCTCATCCTTTCTGCATATTTAGCAATGTTGAAACCTGAATCATCATTTCCACCAAAAGCAGACTCTAAAAGATCCTTGTCAAACAGATCCTCCATAGTTTTCTTGGTGTTAGGATCGTCAGAGTAAACAAATTTCACTTTGTCACGAGTCTTGGGCTCTAGAAATGGTTTGACCACCTGCAACAGAAAAGTCTCCATGGAAATCAGACCTGAATATGGAGCTGTGGCCAAAGTAATAGCAGAAAAATTGTTAAGACCATAAAGAACTAGGAGCCATCACTAACCACTGAAGAGTTATTGAGGCAATAAACATATCAAATCCAAACAAGGGAGCATAGGCAGTGACCAAGAAGGTTAATGAACAAGAAGTGAATCAGTTATCTAAGGCTTATATTGACATGGAAAACCTCCATAAAATAAAAATGGACAGTAGTTTTCAGAAGATTAAAATCAAGAATTACTCAAAAGTAAATTTGTAGTAAAGGGGAAAAACTTCTGATATACAAAGTAGCTTTGACATGGATATCTGTTAATTATTAAGGTTCAAAATCTTTAATGCAGATTAAGGCATCCAAAATTACTTTCGTAGATGCTAGTCTCTACTTGTTATGTTAAAATAATATCTGGAAAGATAGTTGCCTTAAGAGACAAAGATATATCATGTGTTCATGAAAAACAATTAGTATGGGTAAAAATGGTCAGGTGGTTACCGTCCAAAAGGGTTCAAAGAACTTGGGTGGGTCGTAAAGTATTGCCAAACCTAGACGTTCTGGATACTGGTCTTGTAAAATGTGTGCTGTTTCCTGTGTCACCTTCACTGATATATTTGACAGACTATAACCATTGTAATCAATTAACCAGACAATCTGTTCTTGATCTGGTGGCAGATTCAAAATTGCATTCTCCATGCAATAAACCAAGTATCGAATTTGTCCTTTTGTTGATTTTGAGTTCTGCAGACAATATAAACTGATAAGCCATCTAGGCTATAAGCATGCAAGGCTACTAGTGAAAACTTGAATATCTAAACCATGATATATCTATCCATATTCTGAGGTCAATACAATGCCAAATAGAGAAATAAAGTCATGGTCAACATGCTAGGACAATATTAAACTTATTAACCCATGATTTGAACAGTCAGAAAATAATCCACCAAAAGAGACAGCATGGGTGGTTAGAAGGCTTTTGTGACCTTTTGTTTTCCTTGTTAAGTGGCTTAAGGAGAATAATAGAAATTCTTCACAATGGACAAAGTGCATATGTTGCAAGTGGATGCGACCAAGCAAACTTTTTTCCATTTTCATGTAACAGCAACTCTAAGAATTACCCATATATAAAGGTAAAAATCTCAGACAAACCTGACAACCAGGTCTCAAGACAAGAACTGCTCTCCCATGCTTGTCAAGATAATTTGATCTATAGATCTTTCCTGTCTCTGCTTCATGAGCAACCTCGTCCTACACGATAAACAAAATGATGAAGTTAACCCTTGCAATAGCCAGAAACCAGTTGGACAAGTTAAAGAATTCAAAAGATTGGCAAAATAACTATATCAGAGTCACAATGAACAGATTGGTCTTGGTTACTTTCCAAGACTTAAATCCATTGCCAACCAGCATATCAGATTCAGTCTTTGGTTCTTAACACAGGGACCCTTCCAGCCAAAGATTTAAAGCTAAGGAAAATTAACATGGAGATAAACTGTACGTGTAGCATACCCAGCGGATCTCTTCTGGTTTATATTCTGCTCGCCATTTTAAGGATGCTTTCAGCATTTTTGTTGCCTTCTTGACATTCCAGTTGCGTGCCCTTAAATATCTTGCAACGCATGCATCATTACAAAAAATCGCCAACTTCTCAGGCAGTGGTCCTATCAACTTCTTCACCTCATCAATCTGAAAAACTCAAAATTTTAAAAAGTCAAAACTCAAAAGTTTTTATCGCTGCACTCCTAGGAGAATCGATAAATTAAAATAAGGGATATCATGTTATTAACTAGTGATACCTTTCCCTGGTGCTCTTCAGAGATTGAAGGCTTTTCAAAGCCATTGGAAGAGGATTTCTTTAAATCTGAACTCATAGCTTAAAAGAAGCCTGGCTGTATATAAAAACTTTTAACACCTCAAAACTTTTAGGCTTATCAGTCTCAGTATCTCCACATCTCCATTTTCTGTCATCCTATAAATTCAATTAAAGTGGAACCAAAAACAACAAAAGCAATTTCTTTTTCTTCTATTTAAAGGAAATTGCATAATATCATTCTAATCAAGAGAAATAAATGTGCTGTGTTACTTTCTTCTCCAGAAAAGAGAAATGCCATTTTGTTTAATATATTGCATCTACCACATGGGAACAAATTGCAAATTCAAAACATATTGAATACACAGATCACTTTCCACCAAGGCTTTGTTGAATGCTTTGGTAAAAGTACAAAGAAGACCATTTGGATTTTGACATGTCGTTACTATTTCATTCTCTTTTCTATTTTCTTGATGGGCAAAGAGAATGGACTTTAATTCAATTAGATACTGATACATTGAAAGAAAAAAGTTAAAATTTTAGAGTATATCCACACCCCATTCCAAAAGGCATACTTAAGATATGTAAAATCCAAGCACAAATCAGCTGTTCAATGGTCATGGAGGAAGAGACTGTCCATTAAAATGTAAATGGAATTAGAAGGCATTTTTTTGGGAATGATGACAATTAAAACCAAAGATTGGGCCATCCTGTTATCTAATATATAACCTCTCTACTAACCATCTTTTCCACCATCAACTATGTGTCTGATGGTAAGTTACTTGTGCTATTAACCATAAGTCCAAGGTTCAACCCCTAGACTCTATGTACCAAGAAAAACAAAAAACCAACTTTTCCTCATTAGCTCATTTATAGTGACAAATACATTGTTTACATCCATTTTGCCAACAAGCTCATTTTAAGAATCTCAAAATTAAACAGCCCAACCTAATTCCTGACCTGCAGAGTTTTATACATTTACAGCTATTTAACTATTCAGAAAACCTCCTAACTCTGGATTCAACCGGTTTTGGAAATTAAATCAATCAAGAAAAGAGAAAAAAAAAAGCACAGGTGTCTTGTATCTTTGTCAAGAAATAAATTTTAATTGGGATATTGTTATAACTTATAAGTTAAGAACCAACTGAATCCAGTATAATTAAATCACTAAATTATGAATCAATCATTTAAAAAAAAAAAAAAAACCCACAAGGTGTGAGCAATTTCATCTAGAAAATATTGGATCAAATTTAAAGAATTATCACCACTTTAAAAATCAAGACAGATAATTGCCTTTTCTCCCCAATTCAAAGTTTCTCATTTTATTGCATTCAGAAACATGACTAATATTAGTGCAACAGCTGCATATCATTTGAGATATTTCATATTTTTCTCCGAAGTTGAGGAAACTATTGCCAACAGAACTATCGCCTAACTTGATCCAAAATTACATAAGTCTCTCCTATGAGTCCAATTTCAACTGAGAAATTTTAACAACTACTAATAATTTCACAAATAAAAAAAACTCTCCTTTTTTATGTTGAATACAAGAAAACAATGGTTTTGATCCACCAACCCATTTCGAGAAAACAATGGACATAACAACTAAAATCCATCTCAGTTATGAAGGCACTCAGCTTCAATTGAAGTAGCGAGCTTAGTTTTAGTAAATCTAAAAAACCAAAAAGCAAAAATTTCGGGGTTCAGGATATGAAGATCCCCAAAGAGCAACTAACCTGACTTTTTCAAAGAATACAGAATTGGATCCTCAAAAAGCACAAACTTCCGGGGTTCCTCCGATGGGAAAAAATCAAAGAGAAGAGGTCAAACGTAAAAAGGGTATCCTTAGAAATAGGAGGAGGGAGATGGGTTTGGATTATTTTACCAGAATATTACCTGCCACGCATCTGGATCCACACACGGCACGGCAATACTCCCTTGTAGAAGAAACCGGGAAAATTGGGTGATTTTTTCTTCCTGTTCCTTTGTTTATCTGTTTAAATTATTGATTGTTTTATTAATGTAAAAATATAGCAAAAAATGATGCGAATATTTCAGGGGATGACCTTCCTTCTAAAACAGCCAAGCCAGCCTTGCGTTGGCCTATCTTCTTTGAGTTCTTTCTGTACTGGCAAATTGTATTTAATGATATTGCCTTTTTCAAAATTTCAATTAATTATAACTACTATAGTAGTACTATTTTTTTTTTATGACTGGTTTAAATTGCAACTAAATTTGCATTAATTGCATTATATTTTTGTTTATTTGTATAAAATTACATAAAAGTTAATTTTACTTTTTAACACTAATAATATATGTGTAATTTTAATTGGATGATCGATAAAATTAAAATAAATTATTATTTATTAATAACAAGTAAAGTATAAGTTTAAAAAGCTTTTCTTTTATGAAATAAAAATTGAATTAAATTTTA